ATAAGGTCTTGAGGGACAAAAATATTAGTTAAGCTATAATCAGCAATCAATGCAAACATAGGTTTTTATTATTGTTGGTCTAAGTCAGTGGTTCTTAATGCTGTGACCCTTTAATACAATTCCTCATGTTGTGGTGACCCCAACCATAAAATTATTTTCACTGCTATTTCATAACTATAGTTTCGCTAGTTATAAATCGTAACGTAAATATTTGTGTTTTCCGATGGTCTTAGGTGAACCCAGTTACAAGGTCATTGTAACCCACAGGTTGAGAACCACTGTCCTGAACTATCTATTAGTATCTGTTTCTAATAAATCTCAATGTATAGCAAATAAAGTTAAACATTATATACTATTTGATTCTTTCTATACTGTAACTGTTAAGCCTGTAATTCCATGCACTTAGGAGGCTGAGGTGGCCAGCAAGTTCCAGGACATTCTTAATTGCGTGACAAGACTGGATCTCAATACTAAAGAGTAGATATGGTGCTTCATGCCTATAATGTAGCACTTGGAGGGCTGGGGCAGGAGAACTACCACTGAGGTCAAGGCCAATCTGAACTAAATTATAGGACCCCATTTCACAGTAAGACGTACAGAAAACATTACTGTTTAACACTAAAGATGTTGATTAAATAATATTTAATGCATTCTCAAAGTTAAGAGATAAATACCAATAGCTAAGTCAAAAAATTGTATTCAAATCTTTTTAGAAATTATTTTTAAATTTCACTTATTTTATACCCAAATCGCTAAATTTAAATCTTTAAGAAATCTAAGGTGGGCTATGGTAGTGTCTGTCATCCTAGCACTTGGTGGATAGAGGCAGGAGGAGCCAGACTTCAAGGTCCTCCTCAGTTACAGTCTAAAGCCAACATAGGCTTCATGAGGTACTACCTACAAAAGCAAAAAGAAATTCAGAAAGTAGTTCACAGCTGCATTTATTTCCATTATAACTGTCAAAATATCTCTGTATACATCTCATCAGAACAACATATAGTCTGGGCATGGTGGCACACGCCTGTAAACCCAGCAGTCAGGAGGCAGAGGAGGGCAGATCTCTGTGAGTTTGAAGCTTCTCTACATGGCAAATTCCAGGCCAGGGCTACACAGAAAGACCCCAAGTGGGTAATATTCCAAAAAATTAAAAACAAAAAACCCTAGTCTAGGGATGGTATACAATACCCCTTAGTAAGAATGTTGGATAAGGAAGTCCCCACCACATCCCCCATTCAGGCTATTGCTATTGCTCTTGGTTACCAACCAGAACTAGGTAATAAGCCACTATTGCTGAAGACACCAAACACATCTAGTTACGGGACGTACAGAAATCAAGCTACAACTGAGCTGCCTACCCTTCTTTTACTGTGCCAGGAGGTGTTATGCAGGGTATCAGAAGAGAAAGCCTTACTTTGCTGTGGATCCTGTAAGCTATATATAATACCAACCTTGTGGCTAAGATGTGCCCACTGGTGCAATAGTGGCATTGCTGTTGTCTTAGGGTTACTATCGCTATAAGCGAATTGGGGAGGAAAGGGTTTCAGCTTTTGTTTCCAAATCACTGTTCATCACTGAAAGAAGACAGGACAGGAACTCAAACAGGGAAGGAACCTGGAGGCAGAAGCAGATTCAGAGGCCATGGGACATGACATGGCTGCTGCACCCACTACTCACAGAAGCAATGCTACAAGACCTGAATGTACCAGGTCCATTAACATTCCATTATGACCACCCTACTCCCAAGGAGCTATAGGAATGGTTGCTAGGGCTGGGGAAGTCATATTCCTCAGTGGTGCAACCCCTGGCTAGCAGCCTTTGCTCAAGTAAATAACCATCCATCTAAACTCATACAGACACCCTAATTAAAATTTTCCACAAAAGGGAAAAAGGAGAACATAAAAGTAGTTGGGAGGAAGAAGAGGTTCGCTGGAAAGAAATAAAAGAGAGTAAAAGGGCGAGGGGGTGGAAATATCAAAGTATATTACATACATATAAGAAATTGAATTTTTTTTTTTTTTTTGGATTTTCGAGACAAGGTTTCTCCATAGTTTTTGGTGCCTGTCCTGGAACTAGCTCTTGTAGATAGACCAGGCTGGCCTTGAATTCACAGAGTCCGCCTGCCTCTGCCTTCTGAGTGCTGGGACTAAAGGCGTGCGCCAACCACCACCTGGCAAGAAATTGAAATTTTAAATCAAGAAATAACATTGCAAAAAAAAAGAGAAAGAAACAGAGCATACATAAATGCACAAAATAAAGATCCACAGCCAGATGTGGTGGTGCGTGCCCCTTTAATCTCAGCACTCAGGAGGCTCACTCCGTGAGTTCAAGGTCAGCCTGATCCAGGTTAGCCAGGTATATACAGAGGGACCCTGTCTCAAAACAACAACAAAAGCAAGCAAGCAAACAAACAAAACTGCGACTCCCACCTAAGAGGTTTCTTTTAGCCTCAACCAGAATCCTATGTATAATGTACAAGAAACCTATCTGGGGCAGTATTTCTAGTGAGACCATGATTTCCACTAAAAAAATTTTTTTAATATGAATGTTATCAAATAAATACCAGAGTTATTAAGATTTTTCTCAATTACCTTACCACTTGGAGGTAATGGGAAAGAGCTTAGAACCTGATCACTTTTACCCATTCTGTCCTCATTAATAGAAAGAACTCATTCTGTAAGTCTCAATTTGAGCATCCCTTCATTTCCCCAGCCTGATCACATCCTTCTTAGCAGCTGAATCCACCACTGTCCTTATAACCACAGTGTTAGAACTTGTTAAACTGTCAGGGAGACGAGACAACAACTTCTACTTTCTCTCCTCTCCTCATTCCCCAGTTTCTTAGTTGGTTTGTGGCCCAACTCAGTTACAACTATCAAATGAAACCATCAAACTAAAGCAGATCTGGCTCAGTGGTAGAGCCTTGTTTAGGCCCTGGGTTCAGTCCCTAGTACTGGGGAGGTGGGCTGTTGAGATTAAACAAATCACCAAATTCTGTAAATGCAGCACACTAAAACACCATCATTTGCTTGTCTTAAATTTCTTTTGGAAATATGATAAATTAGTAAAAAAAAAAAGATTAAGTTGTCTTATCAAAGCAAGATAAATCCCAACTCATTCTGAAAGTACTGAGAACCAAACGCAGAGCCTTGTGGTAAGCAAGCACTAACTCTTAGCTACATGCCCAGCTCACAAAACTTTGTCATTTTGCTTTGTTTTTGTCTTTGGAGACAGGGTCTCCTGTAGCTCAGGCTCATCTCTCCAAGCGCATTGCTAAAGCATTTTAAGAAAGTGCTCTGCACCTCTCCTGATCTCAGGGGTTGGTCTGGTGCTCTGATAAGAACTCTGAGCTCTTAGAAATCAGACTCTCTTGAGGTACAAATTTACTACTTAAATGTGCTACTTATTACATTCAAAACAATGTGCCAGTCTTACTCCTGGGCACAGAAATGTACACAGCAACATTAAACTGAATGGAAAATTTGGAGCTCTAAATAGAAGAAGCAACAAAGAACCATACACTCAATACACAGCTGACTACAGAAAGTTGTTTCTAAAATCCTGAAAGCAAATATGCCCAACTTTAAGCTCTCTGAAACTAAGAAAAGACCGAGACCATTAAAGTATGACTGCAAATTAAGCTGCAAGTAACATGGACACAAAACAAATTATAACAGAAAATTTCCTATTATTATTATTAATTGACAGTGTCTCACTAGGTAGCCTAGGCTGGCCTTAAATCTGACCCTCTTATCACAGCTCTGTGGTGCAGGCAAGCACTGCGATTACAGAGTGCACCACCATGCCCAAGACAACAGACGTTTTCCCAAGACAAACTGCTTTTGAATTAAGTTAGCCAACGCAGATGGAATGTGTGGAAGCTCTGTTTATATTTTGTACCTATGTTAAAATCACTTTGGAACTACGTTTGAGTTAACAAACATCTCTGTATCGATCACAGTGCTTTTCAGTGCTCAAAACACTGATTGTCAAACCCGCAGCCGGCTACAAAGATTTGAAAATCTCAACCACGGCACTTCAGTGTGGTTTGTAACCGTGCATGACCACACCGACTCCAACGACGGCGCGGCTGCTCAAGAGTTTCTCGTGGAGACCGAACCATCATCAGGGAGGCAAGAGTACAAAGTCTTCCTTGGAATCAGTGTTCCAGGACCTCTGTGCAGCCTCTCCTCCCGGATGCTACGGCACCAACCCTCTAGCTTTTTTTTCCCTCCTGTCCTTGTGGCTTGTGATGATCCAATGCATTCAATCATTTTCCCCAAGGCAGTTTTCCTCCTGACACCCACCTGGAAAGATTTGGGGTACCTCTTTAACAAGTAATCTCGTTCAAACAGGGAAGCTTTCTTCAAACACCTACTGTCTAAAATAAAAGTATAATAATTGGAACTTCGCCTTCTATCAGGACAACACAGGGAAAGAACTACCGTGCGCACTCTCCTCCTCCTCTTCAATTATTTCTTGTTCGCAGTCACTCAGGAAGAGTTAAATAGTCTTACTCTAATGCCTTCCCAGAAAGACGGTGCGTTAAATACACATAAATATTATTGCATTCCCAAAGCAAGTAGGTTCTGGAGTTTTGTTTTAAGGTAAGGGGGTGAAGGATCCCAGGAGAAGAAAAAGAACCACCCGAGGCTCCAAAGACAGAGCTGGGCGAGGAGGAGGAAGAGGCCATAGCAGAAGTTCAAGCTACTCTTCAGAAAAGTCCGGAGCGAAGGCTGGGACCCGCCGCCGCAGCTCCCTCACTGTCCCGGGGACCGTGGGGTGGCTTCCCCTCCCCCTGAGGGACAGCGGCGCCCGGCGGCTCGCGACAAAGGGGCCTGGCGCGGGGCGCTGGCGACCGCCGGGTGGGGGACGGGGCCCCGAGGAACGAGCCAGAGAGGATGGAGCGATCAAGGGGCACCGCGGCCGCGGTCCCTCCCCTCGGGTCCCTCGGCGGCCGCGCAGCGCCAGGCCTCGCTCCACAGGCACCCGCCGCCCCTCACCTCACGCTGCGGGGGCTTCGGTCTCCACCGCAACCCGAGCCTTCGCGCCTTCCAAGGTCCGAGCCATGTTTTGCCCCCGCCTCAGCTGGCTCAGCTGGCCGCCAAGGAGAGCTTCGACTGACTCCGCGGCCAGCCGAGCACCGCACGTCACTTCCGATGGTACAAGCACCGCCCCCGGGCTTGGGCGCCTGACGATTGGCTGGTGCAGGCGGCCTACCTGGGGCGGTGGGCGGGGCCCAGGCGGGGCCGCAAGGCAGCAGCGGCGGGGAGGTTGCGGGCTGGACTGGTTGCCCCGGGGAATGGGTGTCCTGTTGTGGCCTGGGGCCTCTCAGGTTTCTGGGACCCCTGGCCCGCCTCGGGCTCCCTGGCGCCCTTTGTTCCCGGGCCCTCTCTCGGCCCTGCGCGCCGACGATCTCTGGCTTGCGGCTGCGGGCTTTGCGATCTTGGCCCCAGGCCGCCCGGAGATGAGTTTGGATTGGAAGGCAGAAGTAAACAGTCAAGGGGAAATCTTTCATTCCCTCCAGCAGTTATCGCGGACGTTCAGGTGCCTCGAAGTTTGTAATTAGCAGCTCATCACGTGGGTCCCGTAAAGGGCTGAACGTGTGCGGCGTCCTCACGTCGCTGTTTGCTGACAGCCTTGCCGGGGCCAGGTGAGGAAGACAGCCTGATAATAACAGCGCTCGGCCAGACAGCACACCCGGGCCCCGGAGTAATCATACCTCTCTCGTGAGCATCGAATGGAATTGTGCTTGTAAAGGCGTTTAGCCCTCTGCTGTCTGGTTCACAAGTGAAGCAGATGGGGAAATTATTCCCGTTTTACGGATTGCAAAAGAGGACGGACAGCCGGTAACTATTGAGGAGAAGGATGGCAAAACAAACTGGATTTGGCTTTTGGAATTTAGAAGTTTATTCCCAACATTTTCTCCTTTCCTGTAGTAGGAAAGAGGAGACCTCTGATCTGTTCTTTCCAATAAACATGTCTGCACTTCTGGAGTTTGGATGAAGTTCTATATTAAGGGGAAGGAAGCCAAGAGAGAGTGTGTGGCATCTTACTGTAGTCCAAGCTGAGTCTAAGGCAGGAGATTACTTAAGCTCAGCAGTTCAGAACCTGTCTTAAAAAAAAAAAAAAATTAGAAATAGGACTGAGACCAGCTCCGTAGTAGTGCACCTAACTAGCATGTGTGAGGTCTAGGTTCAATCTCTAGTACCAACTAAGCAAAACAGAGGCTATTCCATGGGGAAGTCTAGGAGCATGTCTGTACCACCCTCCCAGCCCCTCGCTGTCCACCAACCCCACCTTCCTCTGTACACTGGCACTTCCAAGCGTGCTTACACACCCCAGAAGAATGTCCCTCAGGAATCTGCTCGGCTCTACAGCATTGTTCTGCTTTATCTTCCAATCAAAGGAGGAATTTATACACTTGGCAGCTCTTCCTCAAAATTTAAAAGGGTGAGGAAAAGGAATTCTTTCAGGACTGGCTTCCTACCTTCTGCTGGGAATGGTGTGTGCCTTACGGGAAGATAAAATGCGCTCTCTCTCTCTCTCTCTCTCTCTCTCTCTCTCTCTCTCTCTCTCTCTCTCGGAAGGAGGGAGAAATTGTTCTTCTGGATCCTGGCAACTGGCCCTGGTCTGAATCAAATCCTTGGTGAAGTTCTGATATTCTCGTCTATTATGGCTTTTGTGTGGCCTACTGGTAGGCTCTGATCACCCAGGAAGTGCCAATAGACTGAAAAGGCAAAGACTTAGGTGGCTTTCAAAAAAGGCAGCATTGATAATTGCTAGGTGTCAAGAAACTGAGCTGGTGGCCCTCTCTTAGCCTTCCTTCTCTGGCTGACAGTGGCACCTGATTAAACCATCTGAACACAGACCCGTGAAAGAAAAGTGCGAACCCAGGCTGCTATTGTTTGAAACCAGTTAGAGACTAGCTAGAAGCTACTTTCTCCCCCTGGCTTCAGTTTTAAGATTTGAAAGTAGAAAGAAAATAAAAAATGAGGGGGTAGCATTACATTTTAAACTGCTCCAACCTTAACTTCCTACAGAGAACTTTATAGCACCCTCAAACTTCTTCCAGTACCAAATGAGAAATGGGGAACCTTTCTCTTTGACCATGTGTGAAAAGAATGACTGATATTGAACATTTCCTGAAAACAGACCCTGTTCTTAGTGCTTAGTATTATCTTACTGAATCCCTCCCACAAGCTGAATGAAAAGGGGCCATTATTTGATCCTTGATTTATGGTTGAGTACTTTGAGCACCAGAGAGAAAAGCAACTTGCTCAAAGCCACACAGCCATTAAATAATAGAGTCTAAATGCAGATCTTCCCACATGGCCCAACCTCTTTAACCTCTTACTGCCCTTGAAAATTAACCGAAGACCTTTAAAAGGCCATTGATAGTCAAGCGTGGTGTTGTACACCTCCAAGCCCAGCACTCAGCAGACAGAGGCAAAGGGATCACCAAGTTGGAAGCCCCTTTGTCTATCTAGAGATTCTGACCAGCTTGGTGTGAGACAGGCTACACAGCAAGACCCTACCTCAAACAAACAAGGCTATTAGTAAGTAGTCCTGTTGTCTGTTCCTCCCATAATGTCATATTCCAACCACATAGGAAGATTCCACTGTGGGATTGTACTATAAAATTTTTAAGTTGTGGCTCTGCTGGGCAATGGTGACCCACACCTATGATCCTAGTACTTGGGAGATAGAGGCTAAAGGCTAGAGCTCAATGCCTAGGCTACATAGTGAGACTCTGTCTCACTATATATGTGTGTGTGTGTGTGTGTGTGTGTGTGTGTGTGTATTCTATCATATATATATATATATTCTATTATAGAAAGGGCTGGAGATGTAACTCAGTGGCATATCACTTGCCTTGCATGTACAAGACCCTGGGTTCTAATCCTAGCTCTATTTTATTTTTTTAATTAAGTCTGTACACAGAAATCATCACCCATGGCAAATAACATTGACACAATGATACTTAGAATATTAAATTTGTAAACAATAAAGGTGTATGCAGTTTGTGGAGGTAATGAAAAATGTTTGCCTTAATTAAAAAAAGGGGGGGTTGGGGCTGAGGGAGCATAGGGAGGATATGCTGAGCCCTCACCTTCTGTATTATATGTCAAACACAGCTCTGTGCCAAGGAGGCACTGGGCAGCAAGACAGTGTTTCTCTGTCCTCAGAGTTTGGAGTACATGGGGAACGAATACAAAATACCCAATTAAGCAATCATTTCCTCCTAATTGTGATAAGCAGTGTGAAGGAAAATTACAATGTTCTCTGATTTAGAATGGAAAGCAGGAAGGCCTTCTCTAGGAAGTGACATTGGGCCGAGTAGAAATTAAGGAGGTTGGGCATGGCAACACACACCTGTAATCTCAGCACTCAGAAGATGGAGGCAGGAGAACTAGAGGCTCCCTGCCAGCCTTGACGACAAAGAAAGACCAGCCTGGGAGACATGAGACACGATCTCGTGTTTTTGGTTGTGAGCCTAGTCTTTAACAGCTGGGTCATCTCTCCAGCCTGAGACCCTATGGCAGAAGGTGGGAGGGGAGAGAAAGAAAGTGAAGGAGGACAAAGAGAAATCCACATAGAGGAAACTCTGTGCAAGGAGCCTGAGAGAGCAAGGTTCAGCAGAGGAACTGAAAGACCAATGTCATTGTTACAGGGGGAATTAGAGGGAAGTGACATTTCCCTGGTGAGACAAGCAAGTATCTTATGCTGGAGCTCAGAGACAGTGTTAAGATTTTAGGTCTTGTCAAATGGTGATACACACCTGTAATCCCAGCACACGAGAAGTGGACGCAGAAGGCTCAGGAGCTAAAGGCCAGCTTGGGTTATATCCAGCTTTGTCTCAGGACAATTTGGGGACAGAGAGGTGGCTCAGTGGTTGAGCATATGCATTACTCTTCCAGAAGACTTGAGTTCAGTTCTCTGTACCCATGTCAGACACTCACAACTGTCCATCAGGCAGCTCACAACTGCCTGTAACTCAAACTCCAGTTGATCGGATACCTTTGGCCTCTTTGAGTACCCCCCACATACACACACACAGCATAGGCTCATGAAGAAACAAAATAAAACACCATGTAATTTAAAACTTTTAAAAATGAAACAAGATAGAAGAAAAGTTAGCTAGGAGTGTTGGCACATGCCTTTACTCTCAACACTAGAGAAGCAGAACCAGGTGGATCTTGGAGTTTTAAGCCAGCCTGGTCTACATAATGAGTTACCAGTCAACCAGGCATAGTAAGACAGCTTTCAAATGATCAGGGTTGTATTTTTTGAAGATTTCATAGTGTGCTATGAAAATGCCCTAGTCAGGGCTGGAGAGATGGCTCAGCGGTTAAGAGCATTGCCTGCTCTTCCAAAGGTCCTGAGTTCAATTCCCAGCAACCACATGGTGGCTCACAACCATCTGTAATGAGGTCTGGTGCCTTCTTCTGGCCTGTAGGCATACACACAAAACAGAATATTGTATAATAAATAAATAAATATTAAAAATAGAAATATTAAAAAAGAAAGAAAGAAAATGCCCTAGTTGGGGGCTGGAGAGGATTTAAGTAGCCTACATTGAAAATTGAGATAGATATCTGTGCTTTGGNCTGGTATGACTGCAGAAGGTACTGAATGTTTTGTTGTTGTTGTGGGTTTTTTTGTTGTTGTTTTTTTGGTTTTTCGAGACAGGGTTTCTCTGTGGCTTTGGAGCCTGTCCTGGAACTAGCTCTGTAGACCAGGCTGGTCTCGAACTCACAAGGATCCGCCTGCCTCTGCCTCCTGAGTGCTGGGATTAAAGGCCTGAGCCACCATCGCCCGGCTCAGAGTTTCTGTTCTTGGAGACATTTGAGTTGAGGAGAGTGACTTGGTTGGGTAGCATGGGATGATTATTAATAGCGATCTGTGCAAATAACTTGGGAAGCCCAAGAGAGATACACAGGGAAGATGGAGGTTTGTTAGTTATCTGTGGCCTTCATGTCTGTTTACTCCTGAATTTAGCAGCTTGAAGGAACAAGCTTTTATACTCATATTTCTTTGAGTCAGGAATGTAAACACTGTTCAAACTGGTACCTCAGCTGTCAGTCTCACTAAGTGGCTTAAAATGGTGGGGAAACCCTGTCTTGAAAAACCAAAACAAGCCATGCCTTTAAT